AGATATTCATCAACAACAACATAAAACTCTCATGGTTCAGCAGACATTTAAAAACAGCCTTCAGAACATGAAGACAAACCCCTGTAGTTTTTTTCCCTGACGATGTTTAGAGCTGTGTGCTTCTCAGCCCAGTACTTTTGATATTTCCCTAAGCAATGATAAATATTTGGAAAGCACTTGTAAAGTTTCTTACATAATAGCATAAGACAAAAAAGAAAAAAAGAAAGAAAGGAAAAAAAAAAACACCACCTAGCACCAGGCAAACAATTTTTCTTTCTACTGCAGTAAAAATGGCAGAAACAATGAACAGTAAATGATCTGTCGACAAACCGAAAGGCATATCTTTGTCAGCAAATACTTCTGAAAGATATGGGGGTGTGGGGGGGAAGCACTGTCGTTGATTGGAAGGAACGAGTATTAGAGAAAATTACCCAGTGTGGGAGGTTTGCTATACAGTTGACTGAGAGTACAGATGTTTCTCAGCTTAAGGTATCTGCTGGATTCCTTCCCAATCACGAAATGCACAAACCACTTTTTTTTTGGTGTGTGAACCACTAAAGGCAAGATACAGCAGAGAAGATATACTGCCCGCAGTAAATGCCATTGTTGAATAAAAGCAGTGGCCTATGGGGAACACGGTAGAAGTTACACTGATGGAAGAACCAGATGGAAAAGATTTTTAAAAAGGATTCTGGGTAACAGTCAGGGCTCAGTGGCTTCAAAAGTTACCCACCCCACCCTTCAGTCTACAGTTACACTAGCATCGCGGGCTGAAGCGATGGCACACATCGGTGTGGGAAGTGTGGAGGGCGTTTAGTCCCACTAGAATCTCTGTGACGCTTGATACTGCAATTGGGTGTGGTTTCAAAAGCTTTCTAGACTGGAGAGAATGAGTCAGGAGTAGTAATGACAAAGTCCTAGAAACAAAGTGTCCTGAGGCTTCCCCACCCCTTCCCTGCCATATCGCTGCTCCAGCTGACAAGGTCTTACTGCGCTGCCCCAGCTAACCTGAAACTCCTGAAGTCCTACCTCAGCCTCCTGGATAGCTGAAACCACTACTTCCCTCCTCCCTCTCTCCCTCTCCCTCTCCCTGTCCCTCTCCCTGTCCCTGTCCCTGTCCCTGTCCCTCTCCCTCTCCCCCTCCCCTCCCTCTCCCTCCCCCTCTCCATCCCCCTCCCCCTCCCTCTCCTTCTCTCTCCCTCTCCCTCTCCCTCTCCCTGTCCCTCTCCCTGTCCCTCTCCCTCTCCCCCTCCCCTCCTTCTCCCTCCCCCTCTCCCTCCCCCTCCCCCTCCCTCTCCTTCTCTCTCCCTCTCCCTCTCCCCCTCCCTCTCCTTCTCTCTCCCTCTCCCTCCCCCTCCCCCTCCCTCTCCTTCTCTCTCCCTCTCCC